TGAAACGGTCAGGCTGATAGAGTAGTTGAGTGACATGAGCTGGCCACAAGGTTATTTTCTTTGACATATAATACTTTGCATATTGGGCACATGGGACTATTTTCATCTTCCAGAAACATGCTTTCTTCCATTTACTTTCAGTTATTTTGCCTGTCTTTTTATTGCCTGTGTGTTACAGTAATACAGTCTAAAGAAATATACTACTCTCCTTTTTACTATAAGAAAAACAATGTGTACATAATGATAGGTGAATGGCTTCAGGTTAAGAATATGATAGGAATTGGCAGAGACTATGGCTAATTGTGAGCACTTGTCCTATCAAGTTGAGCATCCAGATATTTCCATGTAGCCATTTAAGCCCAGTGTTGCCAGTTCTTCTAATAGTTCAAGAGAAGCTGGAATCCATGTAGCCATGTAAGCCCAGAGTTGCCAGGTCTTCTAGTATTTTAAGAGAAGCTGGAAATTTTTACATGAAACCACCTGTTTTTAAAATACTGGTAAATTTAAAAGAAGAAAAAAGGTGTGAAGGTGAAACAGAACCATCTGCAGGCTAAACCTGGCCTTTGGGTAGTGTTTGCAGCATCAATATGGAAGCTTACTTTCCCCGTGGATGCTACTTTGAGTAACTGTTTTGCTTCAGTATTGCATTCATTCATTCATTCATTCATATGCTTATTCATCATCCAAATTCTTATTGTGTGACAACCATGAATGAGGCATTGTGCTAGACACTGAGAATATAGCCATAATTATGGCAAAGATTTTTTTTCCCCTGGAGAACCTGGTATCATTTCTGTCTCTTGTCTTTCTCTAGGCTGTGCACCTTCCATTTTTCAAATGTATATTCATGAGACATCATTTCTGAGCCCCTCTCCCTCCCCCTTAGCATCTTGGAGATGTCCTGTGAAGGTGCTCTTTGTTTAAGAAGCACTCTGAGGATCTGCTGCCTCACGTTGGATACCACCCACATTTCCTCTTCTGCCCGTAGGTTAATATCTCCCTCTTTGCCATCTCTCCATCTGGTAGATTCTACCTTCTACTGCCAGAATTCTCTCACTACCTATTAATCATCTGGTTAATTGCATCATTTTCTCCTACTGGACTGTTAACTCTTTGGGAATAGATGCCATATATTACTTTGTTTGTATTTCTGGGCCCTGAATCATACCTGACACATGGTAGGTACTCAATAATACCTGGAGTAAATTAAAATGAAAATTAGTTTGACTTGTGCAGTTCTCTACCTGTCTGTTAGTGGTTTGGACCATTTCAATAGTCAGGACACATTAACTCTTTGGGTTGAGGATAATAACATACATACAGTTTTAATCTAGATGTAAGTATTTTGTTCTCTTTTATATCCCAATGTGGGTCTTTATTTTTAGCACTAGTCTATCTAATCCTGTTAGAATTAGCTAACAATTTCAGCCATTTAAATTCTTTGTGAATCTGTTGGTCTTCAAGTACATTCACTTTCCTTTCTAGTTAAAGGTATGGTGTAATCTTTTTTTTTTTTTTTTTTTTGAGTTGGAGTCTCACTCTGTCGCCCAGACTGGAGTGCAGTGGCCGCTCCCGGCCACCGCAGCCTCGGCCTGCTGGGCTCCGGCGATCCTTCCACCTCAGCCTTCCGAGTAGCCGGAATTACAGGCATGCGCCACCACGCCC